TAGCAAGGAGAGACAAGAGGGCCTTCTTAAATGAACAATGCACAGAAATACAGTCTTGCCTCGCATAGTGATCGCTTCATTGAGCGACAAAATCACTTAGTGACGGAGTTTTTGCAATCACAAAAGCGATCGCTTTGCAATGGTCCCTATGGGTTTTTTTCGCTTTGCGATGATCGCGGGGAAACGATCATGGCAAAGCAAGCCTTTTTTCACATCTGTTCGGTGGTTTCAAAATAGTCGCCCACTGTTTTTCCTCGCTTAAGAGGCAGCGAAAATGGCGGCACTATGGAGGATTTTCATTATACCAGAAGGATTTGGATATCCCAGACAACCCAGATAGTGTGGTTGCTGACCTAGAGCCAGACATCCTGGAGAGTGAAGTCAAGTGGGCTTTAGAAAGCTGACTCTTCGTGACCCCATGGACCAGAGCACGCCAGGCCCTCCTGTCTTCCACTGCCTCCCGGAGTTGGGTCAAATTCATGTTGGTAGCTTCGATGACACTGTCCATCCATCTCGTCCTCTGTCGTCCTCTTCTCCTCCTGCCTTCACACTTTCCCAACATCAGCGTCTTTTCCAGAGAGCCTTCTCTTCTCATGAGATGGCCAAAGTATTGGAGCCTCAGCTTCAGGATCTGTCCTTCCAGTGAGCACTCACGGTTGATTTCCTTCAGAATGGATAGGTTTGTTCTCCTTGCAGTCCAGGGGACTCTCAAAGAGTCTCTTCCAGCACCACAATTCAAAAGCATCAACTCTTCGGCGGTCAGCCTTCTTTATGGTCCAGCTCTCACTTCTATACATCACTAGTGGAAAAACCATAGCTTTGACTATTCGGACTTTTATTGGCAAGGCGATGTCTCTGCTTTTTAAGATGCTGTCTAGGTTTGTCATCTCTTTCCTCCCAAGAAGCAGGCGTCTTTTAATTTTGTGGCTGCTGTCACCATCTGCAGTGATCAGGGAGCCCATGAAAGTAAAATCTGTCACTCTGTTTATACTCTGCAAAAACACCTTAATATTCAGTTCTGTACTTGTACACGTGAGACCTCCAATGAGACATTTCAGTGTCATCACATTACTTGGGAAGAACGGCTCCTCATAACCAACCATGCCCTCCTCCAAGACATTGTAAGCCAAAGGCCATTTCAGAGTTGGTCTAGTGTCCAAATTGGCTAATGGGAACAAAGAACGGGCCCCAAAACCTACCAGCTTATATTAGCTGAAATACGTACCTTATTTCCAAGCACTATGTCTTAGGAGAGCTGTTCAGACTTTTTACAGTGGGGAGGAACAACCATAAGCAAACCATGATGTCAGGGGGATGAGGAGGATCCTCTGCAAAGCTGGCAGGGCCTGATTCAGGTCTTGGCTGGACCTTTTCCATTCCTACTGCAGGGTGTTAACAGGAGGGGCCACTGTTGAAGTCCTTGTTGGATGCTATTGTACTGCAACTGCGGACATAACCCCGAGTGAGGGAAGATTATCCCTGCGGCCCACGCACTTTTTATGGGCCTCTTTTATAGGTGAGCCGCCACCACCCTTTTTTCTGTGCTTTTCAATAGACAACCAACATCTTCTGTTGGCTGAGCAAACGTGGGTCCCAGTGGACTCCGCAGGCAAGAGAGTCGTCTCTTTGCTTAGGGGTGATGGTTGGGGGGAAAAAAGTCATTCTGCAAATCTGGGTGTTCCCTGGAGCCTGATGTCAGCAGCACTTTTTATAGGCCCCTTTGGGCTGTGGTTCATTCTGGAAGTTCCAAACTGAGTTTCAAGGAAATGGATTATTTCCCCTTTACTTTTACTGAAGAGTTGAAGAAGCCCAGGAAGAGGAAGTGTTGATTTTAAATTCTAAATATACAGAAAGAGAAAGACTCTTGTGGTGCCTTAAAATGCAGTGGTCTTCAACCTTGGGCCTCCAGATGTTCTTGGACTTCAACTCCCAGAAATCCTGGCCAGAAGAGGTGGTTGGTGTAGGCTTCTGGGAGTTGTAGTCCAAGAACATCTGGAAGCCCAAGGTTGGGGACCACTGCTAAAGAATTACAATGTATTACAGCAAAAACTCTTCTGGATGCCTCAATAAATCTGTTAGTCTTAATGTGCCGCTAACCTTTCCTTTGTGTTTGTGTGTGTGTGTGCGCGCGCGCACACACACACACACACGTGCATGTATCCTTGTTGCTTTTAAAACATTCTTAATCCTGCTCTTTTCCTGACAGCTACCTCCAAGGACTCTGAGGAGTCATAAAGAATTTGCACACATATGCCTGCTTTACACTTGGTGTGTGCTTTGCACCAACCAGCACTCTGGTTTCTGGAGGCAGAGATGCTGAGAGCTGAGTGAAATGAGCAAACTAATGAAATTGATTTCTCCATTTCTTTTCCGTAGATAAACTGCTCCATTAAATTCCACTCCAAATGTGAAATAAAAATATTATTAACTGAGAACCATCTTAAAAGATGAAGCGAACATCCATTTATATAAATCCCTAATGATTTTCAAAATACAATTCATTTAAAAATATTCTCCAGTAATTTTCCAGATTGCATTGATGTGGAAGGCGCAGGCCTTTAAGATTTGGTGTATAAACTGAAGATGTATATATAGTCTGAATATTTCTTTTCAGGAATGTAAAGGGAGATGAAAGGTCACCTGGGGGTATCCTCACTTACTTAGGTGAATGGCTGTTTGCAAATCTGAATGTATATCCCTATGATAAAAATATTGATATCTGTGGCTAACTTTGGTCTTCTGCTTTTTCCTCCTGTCCAATTGCTTCACAGGACAAATGACCAGCTCGTTGCATTCCTATCAAGATACCGAGACATGAATTTCTTAAAGTCTCACGGAAGAGACAATGCAAGGTAACAGGTTTGGTAGGATGATTAAAACTGTGCTGTTTTTATTACCCTATATTAAATGAGTAAATCACAGGTCATTTCAGTGCTTAAGATAACAGGATTTCCATTTCACTTTTCCCAAGAAAAAATAGAAATTGTTGAGCTAACAGATTCTGATCACTGAAACCTATTGAAAATATTCTCTTTGAATATACAGTGGTGCCTCGCATTACACCGTTAATTCGTTCCAGCGAAATCGCTGTAGAACAAAAACGTAATGTGAAAATAAAAAGCCCATTGAAACGCATTGAAACCCCTTCAGTGCGTTCCAGTGGGCTGGAAACTCACTGTCCAGCGAAGATCCTCCATAGGGCGGCCATTTTTTCTGGCTGTCTTGCGAGGAGTCTGTCCCAGAAAACAATGGGGAGCCATTTTATTTACCCGACAGCCATTTTGGAACCGCGATCACCTGGAGGAAAATTGTCGTTTTGCAAAAAATCGGTTCCTGTAGCAGGGAGTCGATCATCCCAAAGCCAAAAAACCCCATTCAGACCATCGTTTTGCGATTGCAAAAAGATCGTCGTAATGCGGTTTCATCATAATGCGGGGCAATCATAAAGTGAGACACCACTGTATGATATACCATATCTTTCTGTGTATAAGACAATACCTTTGTCTAAAATCTTTAGACTAAAAATTGAGGGTCATCTTATACACGGAAGTAAACTGAGTAGAGAACAAAATAGCCCATACCTAGGCTTCCTCCAATTACAAGCCTTATGTAACTGGTTTCAGCTGATGCTGAACAAACCAATTGGAACACACCTCGTTGGAGGTGGAGCCTGTAGGCAGTGCTCCACAGGGAGTCGTCTGACCGTTCTGAACCCAAAAACTGAATACTCAAAGCTAAGTTAAGATTTCTTAATTTGGGGTTAGAAAAGTGGGGGGATTATCTTATACATGGAAAAATACGGTACTTAGAGGTCCTGTTACTCACTGTAGTGCTTACAAAGTAATTTATTACTGTTATGCATCACAGTGTTTTTAAAAAGCAACTTGTTGCATTGTTCATTGCTTTATAATTTATTTTCATTGCTTATTTGAACAGTACCTTTGGATTGATGAAAGAATTGCATAAATTTGATGTCCTGCCACAGTACCTCCAAAAATGGCTTTTAAAAGAAACTTGACATATAACTTTAAAACATTACCATTATATTGATGGGAAAAAATATATTCCCTTTTAATTATGCTATTTTTAAAATATAACTTTGTGCCCATGCCACCCACATATTCTGATATTGTTGCTGCCCAAAAGTAATTAGATTAAGGTAACTAAACTACTTGCTATGCTGTAACTCCAGTCTGTAGCTATATGTATTACTTCCCCATTCCAGAGTTTAGACTTTGAAACATTGGCCAAGATTCTATTAGTTATGCTGTTTGTGTAAATCTTAATTGCTGTTATTGGCATGTTCTATGGCACTCCAAATTGCATGACTCAGAATGAAATAGCAAACACCTATGCTGGTTTGTTAACTTGAGGCAACTCATCACTTATACTAGCACAAAAAGTTAATAGAATTCTTATTGTTTTGAACTATCATTCCCAAAATCCCACAATCAGCATGGCTGTGAGGTTCTGGGAGGTATTGTTCAAAAAAAGTCAAGTTTCCATACTAGATTAAACCATAGTTGAAACTATTCCAGAACTGAGTTGAGCTGAGCTGAGCAAAAAATTAAGCTCTTCTCACGCCTTTTATTCTCCCATTTAAGCAGTGTGGTGTATTTAAAAATGATTTTATCACCTTTTCCAACATGCCCATCCAAGGAGGACGCAGGGCAGGAAGAGATTTTAGTGCTTCTGTCACTATGGTGACAGTGTTGCCATTTTCTTTTCTTCCATGGAGTCTCCTCAGAAGTATGAGAAGTTCATTATATTTTTTTTCCTCCACGATTTGATTTCTAAAAGGAGTTCCTGAGATCAACTACTCTATGACTGAAGTTTTTCTTTTTTAATTATTACTTTTTAAAAATTAAGTTAAATTTGTTTACATACAAAAAACACACCACAAAACCCACAAAAACAATAGTGCACCCCTCACCCCAGGGACCATCCATTAATACAGTACATACACACACACATTTCCTTGTCTAACAAGGTAATCATCAAGCAAGGCACCACTGTACAGTTGTGCCCCGCTTTACAATTACCCCATTTAACAATGAATCCGCTTGACAGTGAGGTTTTTGCGATCGCAAAACGATGATTCCAATGGGTTTTTTCGTTTAATGATGATCAGTTCCCTGATTCAGGAACCGATTTTTGCTTTACAATGATCAAAAACAGCTAATCGTCAGGTTTCAAAATGGCCGCCGGCTGAAGAAAATGGCCGATCGCTGTGCTTAGGGATGGATTCCTCGCTGCACAGGCATGGGAAATGGCTGCCCCTATGGAGGATCTTTGCTGGATGATGATTTTTCAGCCCATTGGAACACATTGAACAGTTTTCAATGCATTTCAGTGGGCTTTTTTATTTTGCTTTACGGCGTTTTCTCTCTACAGCGATTTCGCTGAAACGAATTAACCTTGTTAAGCGAGGGACCACTGTACATACATACATACACACATTTCATCCATCTTTTAAAAGACCACTTATCCCTTCCACAAATACAAATATTCTTAATTTTGCTTTTGCCCTTTTTCTTTATTAAATACAGCATTTATAAAGTCACCCCATATCTCATTAAATTTATTAATCTTTATCACTCTTTTTTACACTTAATTTCAGATGTCACTTTATTGTTAATAGCAGTATTCCAGATTTCATTATACTGTTCATGTGGTTGAAAAATCCAGTTCTTTTTCCAGTTTTCTGCTATAAAATATTGAGCAGTTGTTATATTTATAATCGTATCTTTCTTCGAGTTATTTACATTATGATTACCTATTAACAATAATAATGCTATTCTTGATTATGCTTCACTGTTGACTTCCGGTACTTCTCTAATATCTTTAAAAATGTCCCTCCAAGCCCTTTGTATTCCTCACATTACCACCATAAGTGCAGATATGTACCTAATTCTTGATTGCATCTCCAGCACATCTTGAAATATTTAGAAACTGTTCCGTTTAATTTTATCAGCATTAACTACCATCCCCACGTTGTTTTATAACCATTCTCTTTTATTCTGACATGTTTTTAAAAACCCTTCTATTCCATACATTTTTCCATTCCTCTTTATCTATTTTTCCTGATTCTGCCTCCCATATTATTTTAACGCTCCAAACTGATCTGGCTGTTCTGTCAATATTCATTCCTCTGCTGGTGTACCGCCCACCCTGCTGCGTACCAACAGTCTCCCTGCCTGAGCTGACGGAGGTCGTCTCGGACCTGGTGTTGAGGACTCCCAGGCTGTTGGTGCTGGGGGACCTCAACATTCATGCCGAGGCTCCCTTGACTGGGGTGGCTCAGGACTTCATGGCCACCATGACAACCATGGGGCTGTCTCAATGTGTCATCGGCCCAACGCATGAGAAGGGCCATACCTTGGACTTGGTTTTCTCAACAGGACTGGAAGATGGTGGTTTGGATGTGGAGGGGCTGGTCGTGACCCCGTTGTCATGGTCAGACCACTTAGATTCTTGCCTATGGATATTTCAAAAACAGGCGAGTATTCTAGAAGTAGGAAGCTGGATAAATGCCTACACAGTTTACCAAGCAGATTCTTCTCAGTTTGGAAATTCATGGCTTCATTCAGACTGGCAAGGCTGTGCATTAGCTGCCCTCCCCATCCGCCAGTAGAGTTAAATTGGAAAAGCAATAAGAAAAGGTCAGGGAGATGCCTTCTGTTCAGCTCTGAATCACCCGATGGCTGCTCCTCAGAGCCTGTGGCTGACAAAATAAAAACAAGAGAATGAGTTATGACAGCTGTGCTGTAAAGCTGAGCCTAAGAAGGCGAACCTCAGCTGGGACTGGAATGATTTAGATGAATTAAATCCACAAATCTGCTGATTAATTTAATAATAAAAATGTGCTAATGTGCTACTTGGCCTTTCATCAGAGGAATAATCACTGGGGGCTTTATTGGTGATTCTTCCATCAGAATGCATAAACAGTTAATTGCATCTCAAGATGCTGCTAAACTAGATGAGGTGCACTGATTTATGATATCTATCTATGTATTATTTATTCAGAATGAGTCTTCTCACTGTGCCTTGAATTGTTTTGATCAAGCTCTTTTGTAGTTAATTGCAAGCAAACCAGTAACCATGTGATAAAAGAGATCAGAGGTGTCTTTCTAGTAACATCTTGCCTGACTGAAGTTTGAAAATGAGGATACAGTAGATGGGAAGAGCCCCTGGTGCTCTGATGTCAGCCCATTCTTCCTTGCCCTGTTGCCCTCCAAATGGGATGGGTGCCATTTCCCTTTGTTTTAACAGCAACATTAACTTAATTATCTCTTAGTCATTGCAAGGAGAAAGGAATTAATTGCAAACTGACCAGTCAGATATAAGATGTTGACATTAAATAATGTGGAATTATTTAATTCCAAACTCTTGAGAAGTGAGTTAGAGAGCAAGAAAGGACATAAAAAGGAGAAACTAAAGAAGGGCTGGGGATGCGGGAGGCCATCCACAGAGAATATGCAGCAAGCTTTTCCTGCACGTTCCACTCGCCAGTGGCAGTGGCATTGAAGCCATCGTCATGCTTACCCTCCATGTTCAGATCAGGACTTTGGTGCATTCTTTTTTTCTTTTTTCTTTTTTGCACTAGAGTTCCTAGGACCCTCCAGCCACTGAACCCGATTATTCTCCAGAAAGTAGCTGAATCCAGCTGCTGTTGGGAAGTCCAGAGGGAAAGAGCTATTATTTTCATGTGCCTTGTGGAGATTGTTCCAAGGGCAGGTGATCAGCTGCTGTGGGAAACAGGATGCTCAGCTATATCAGCGGCAGAGTCTGATCCAGCACAGCTCTTCTCAAGCCATGCCTAAACACTAATCAGGTTAATAAGGAGGGAGAG